GATCAATTGAATATGATCGATGAGAAGAGACTAGTGGCTTTATGCCATGGTCAATGCTACCAAAAGCGAGTTGCAAAATCCTTCAATCGCAAAGTCCGGCCTCGACATTTTGAAGCTGGAGATCTCGTGCTAAAGAAAATGTTGTCCATCACACCCGAATTAGGTGGGAAGTTCGCCCCAAATTATGATGGTCCATATGTCGTTAGAAAGGTTCTACCTGGGGGTGCCTTAATTCTTGTAGAAATGGATGGTCAAGAGTTGCCAAAGCCTGTAAATGCCGATTCGGTGAAAAAGTATTTTCCTTGAATGAAATCCAAAGCCCGAGAACCATTTTCGATGCAATCCGAATAACTGTAGATTATGCACATCATGCATACATGCACACATGTTTACTTTGTAGGTTCCAAACAATCCGCAAATTGATCCACAAACGACTGAACTATCTTGGCAAGCATCCAACAAGCCAAATGCGAAGGAGGGGATTACCAAGTCATTAGGCCGCAGGTAAGTACCATTTTTCTTAATACCAAAAGAAAGTCGAATGGAAAATTTGCTTTAAAAAAAAAAAAAGAGGGTTTTTGACAGGTTTGAAAAAACAACCATAAAAGTTGAAACTGTGAAAAAAAACTTTTCACAAAAATTTTGAATATCATCCTTGTCCAAAGTTGTCTTGATGCTTGATGGAACATTCATTTTGAATCAAAATTCCCTATGAAGATCAATCAACTCAGGTGATCTTGGCAAAACAAGAGGAAATATGTTAATCATGCCAAGCAAGAAGCACTTAGAATGAAGAAAGGCGAACCATTCCCAAACACGTCCTATAGACACTTTGTGAGTTGAGTGCAAAAAAATCGTGTTTTAGGACGAGAGATTCATTCGCAAATAGTATATGGATCAAAATGAAAAGAAGCATTTCTTTCATCCATCCTACACACTACCAGTAATCATAGTTAAGTCCCTTCGAGCCTTCACATGTGAAGAATTTCTACAAAATGCCCTTGTCAAGAACCACCCCACAAGGGGGCAAGTTCGGAGGTTTTGGTTGACATTCTTTGGAGGAAAAGATGAGAAAGATGAGAAAGATTTCTTTGCTCTTACTTGCATTAATCTTGATGGTAACTTCAAACGAGTCCTTATGGAAGCTCGAAGCGTCCCAAAATGAAGAAGAGCATTTCTTGCTCTACCCAAACACTTATACCCTTTGTTTAGCCAAGCTGAGCCTGAACATTCATTTCAAAAGCCCGAGTGACAATTATTTCCCCACACTGGGGCAAGGCACATGATTTTCCAAAGCGATTGGCGCTTGTGCGACAACGTAAAAATCAAAAATCAAAAATCCTGAGAGCTTAAAAGGTTCACACGAGCAAAATAAAGCTAGGGGCATGAAAAAGCAGTGTGCCTGGTAAAAGCGAGGCCAATGCCCGTAAAAAAAAAAAGGGTGTCAAAGAAAAGTGCTTGCATGAAAGAAAAATCATTGCAAAGGCGAAAGGCATTAGAAAAAGAGCAAAACTCTTATGTTGAAATGATTTGCCGATGGACTCTTGAGACGAGTTAAGGAGTCATGCGCCTTTTGAAAAGACGAGATGATATGGTAATGATGCCACGATAATCATCAGCTCTTAAATTTTTTTCTGAAAAACTCGAGCCTTTTGAGCCTTTCACCGAACCAATCTTACAACCCTTTCCAAAGTCTCTTCTGATTGGGATAGTTCGAGCAGAAGTTTGGACTTCCAAAGAAGCTACCGCTTGAAGAAATGGGGGCAAATTTATCTTATCTCATCTCAAGGGTTCTTTACTTGTAAATCTAGTAGAGATGCTGATTGACAATTGTTGCATTCCTTAGCCGATAATGCTTATCCATTGTTGAAGCCATGACCAAACCTGTATTACGGTCCTTTAAAAGACCTCTTAGATTGGTCAACGTGTACTTATTGCGAATGATTCTCAAAACCTTCGACAGTTGTCATGTGAGGTATACTGAGTGATCAGACCATTTTCCACATTAATGGATGGGATCAAACAGCCTTCTTAAGGATATGTAAAAAGTCCTTTCCGACTAAAGAGCTCTTGTTTGGCATACTTAACAAGCCCTCTTCATGGACCAAGGTCCTTTTTGACAAAGATTTGTCTTCTAAGGGAGTTTAATGATTAACGACGTTCTCCAAGCCTGATGGCAATTTTGTGATATTGAATGATGCCGAATGTTTTCTAGACAATCAAAATCAGTTTGAATTGCTCGTATAATCAACACTCTCTCAGTAATGATGTTCTTCGCTATCAGGGAGTTTGTTAAGACACATTTTGTGCAGTAACCACTTCAGTAACTTGCGAATCGACAAGTGTGGTGAGCTTTAACAACTCGGAATCATTGCAATACAGCAAATTTTCCCAGTAAAATCGACATGTATCAAGCTTCAACAGTTGCTTGAAACACTTTTTCTACATGGAGCATTACTATGGCTCGTAATATCTCTCTTGACCTGTTCATTATGGAGATTCTTCGCATTTTGATAGGAAATATTGTTCCTTCTGGGTTTTATTCCCTGTGCCTGTTCATAGGGTTTTAGCCCCTAGACGGAATCTTCGACGTTCATAGGGTTTTAGTCCATAGGCGCTCCTTCGAGGCATTGTTCATATTGCCGTTCATTGGGTTTTAGTCCCTAGGCGGAGTCTTTGACGTTCATAGGGTTTTAGTCCCTAGGCGTATTTTCTGGATTTTAGTCCCTTTGTCGTCCATAGGGTTCTAGTCCCTAGGCAAAATCTTCGACATTCATAGGGTTTTTAGTCCCTAGCCTTTCTTTCAAGGCGCCGTTCCTATTGCTGTTCATAGACGGGATCTTAGCTACATTTGTTTTTCGTCTTAGTTGATACGTATAAAGAAAAGCTACGAGCTATAGTTTCCTTGGATGAGCACATAGCGGCAAAAAGGGGCCCTCTCTCTCTCTCTGAGAACTACTAATTGATTAAAAAAATAGAGTGAAACGGACGTGGGATTGAGCTAGTGGTATTGGGGCATGACCGTGTGGGAAATGATTTGTTCAAATTGACGTCAATGCTCCAATCAGAAGCAAGGAAGGAAGATGAATCCCCAGAATCCGTGAGCCCCTTGATTCATCAGATTATTTAAGTACATATAAATTAGGCATCGTGAGATGAACAGATGGAAAAAGATTTGAATAAGCACACTAATTGGGATAATAGATATTCTCATTAATAAATGTGCTTAAATTGAGATCTGCTTGATTTTATGATTGTTCCACATTAGTTATTCCCTTTTAACTTTTTTAATAGATTGCACAACTTGGGTGATGCTAGTCATTATTAGAACTTGGGGAAAATTATCAAAAAGTCCTAAACTTATTGCATTTTAGACAATTCAATGCACTTTAGACAATTCGATCCAAAACATTTTCTCCAAGAACTTGCACCAACAAAATTTTATTAAATTTGTCGCTAGAGCGTGCCAAAAGTTGCCGAAATTAGCAACAGACATCAATTTCATCGCTAAAAAGACGAATTCCCTAATTAAACGGTTGAATGTGTTCCACCTTCTAGGGAAGAAATGCGGGATAGTTATAAGAAAAATCCTTAACTTGCTGTACAAAGTATTAGTTCTAAATTTTTCAATTTGATTAATTTAGTCGTAAACCTTTTGATGATTTGCTGACATAATTATTGCGGTCAATTTCTACCGGAAATCATCAGTGTGGACATCGGCTGTTCTACGTGGTAAGTGCTGACATAGACAATTTTCAAAAATTTCTTAAAAACTTTCTGATTTTTTTAATTTTATTATCTTTTCTTTCTTCATTTTTTTCCAAACCCTCGCCGATCACGAACGAGGGTCACCATGCCATCGCCGGCAATCTACCTCGCAGGCCTCAGGCAAGGCTTGACCTTGCCACATCTAGCGACGACAAGGCTTGCCGCCTCAACGCACTCGCCGGCGTGGATGTTGGCCAGCCATCTCTGAGGCGCGGCAACTAGCGGAGAAAGAAGGATAAAAGATGAAAAAAGGAAAAAAATTTAGAAAATTACAAAAAATGATCACATCAGCACTGACCGTGTCATAAAAGATGGTTAGTGTCCACATCAGCGATTATATTGGTAAATCATCAAAAGGTTTACTACTAAATTGGCCAAATTGAAAAGTTTAAGACTGAATTGACATCTGTATAATCAATTTAAAACATTTTTTGATAATTTTCCCAACAGAATGCAGACAAACTTAAATTGGTTTCTTGAGCACATTCAAACTTCATAGATGAAGACACGAGTTTTGCATACATTTATAATCGAGACGTAAGACATTCATGACCGAGACAACGCATCAGACTACTTATGTATTTATTTGCTAAGACAATTAAATGATGTAGCTCTAGCGGGACGAGTCATTTTCTCCTTGTGGATGGGCATATAGTTGAATAAGGGAAGGATAAATTATTCAATGAACTCGCTACATGCACCATAACGAGTCGAAAACGTCACTACATCCGGTGGGATTCACGTCCGAGACAAATTACTTTTTGGTGGTACAGATCAAGATACTTTCAAGACCAATAAAAAAAAAATTTGGTATGGTCTCTTTTACAAGCCTCAGGACCACCAATTAATGTTTTGTGGTACATGTAGCAAAACTTTTCTACCCATGGATGGACAATGGCATTAGTGAGGGATCAAATATCTAGGGAGAAACTTGAGGCAACCGACCCCGTCGTGCGTCTTGAATTCAAACTCGTTCCTTTTGCCTAACCAATCACACAAATCGTCGAATGGTATGAGAAAATTTTTCAAGTCTCTGTGTGCGAGCAGAGAGCCAATTGGCGTTCTAATCTAGGACGCCAAACCACAGAGTCATCACATTGGCCACCAGAATCCAATCAACAAGTTCTTGTATGAAAGGAAAAGCAAACTAAAGTATTCATTTAATAAGAAGCTCCTCCCATCTTTGACTTCTCCTGCCATACCCATCTTATTTAAAGCCCATAGAATCATTCATTCTTTCCCCCATCATACCCTCCAAAACCCCTCGTCACCCGCAAAGAAAAGGTAAAGAATGCATTGATCCTCTTGTTGATTCCTTCATCACCATATACGATGGAACTAGAGGAGCCCGGCTTGATGAGGCAATCCCACCTCAACATCATGAACAAGTACATCGACCCGAGAAATGGCAAGGGCAGGGGCGGCCCGTCACAGCCGCCGAGGAATGACCTGCGCAGGCACTCAGAATCCTTCCGGAAGCTCGGGGTGGGCATCCCCGCGGCGGGCGGCATGTCCGACGCGGAGAAGAGGCTCGCGTGGGTCCGCTCCCAGATCGTCGGCGGTGACGCCGAGTTCGACTCGCCGTTCGGCAAGCGGCGGCTCACGTACGCCGACAGCACCGCCTCCGGCCGCTGCGTTAGCTACGTCGAGGACTTCATCATCGACAACATCCTCCCATTTTACGGTACACGTTTCGAGTTTCTGTGAGATTCTTTCTCTTTGATTCTGATAGTAGATAACTTTTATTTTCTGTACTTTTAATTTTTAGAGTTGAACGTTCGAGTTTCATTTAGTATTTGAATGCCTCATGTTCTGGAGGTTAGATGGATATAGACAACATCACTCTCCATGGTGTATATGAGTGCTATACGACTCCAGTTTATCCTCATTTCACTTTTATCTCTAACTTTTAATCCTAAAATAGTCAAAATCGTATGGTACACATTTTATACAAAGTTAATTTTACGCGGACCATCTTTAACGTCTATCGTATATTGGATGAAACCACTATCTGAATGGTAATTTTACATATGTACATATAGGCAACTCGCACACGTCCGACAGCCATGCTGGTCATCGGACCACCAAGACGGTGCACGAGGCCTCGAGCTACATCAAACGGTGCTTAGGAGGCGGACCCGAGGATGCGATCTTGTTCTGTGGATCAGGATCCACCGGGTCGATCAAGCGGCTCCAAGAAGTCATGGGCATTGCAGTGCCGTCGACCCTAAGAGAGAGGATGATTAAGTGCATGCCAAGCGAAGAGAGATGGGTGGTCCTAGTCGGGCCTTATGAGCACCACTCAAACCTTCTCTCATGGAGGCAGAGTCTAGCAGAGGTCATAGAGATTGGACTAGATGCAGATGGGCTGATAGACAAGGAAGATTTAAGGCAAAAGCTTGAGTCTTATCGAGATGCAAACAGGCAAATTCTGGGTTCTTTCTCAGCTTGCAGTAACGTCACCGGGATTTGTACCGACACAAGAGCTGTGGCCAAGCTGCTTCACCAATTTGGTGCCTTCGCTTGCTTTGATTTTGCAGCTAGGTGAGCCTTTATTCTCGAGGAATTTCTGGCTCAACTGGAGAACTCCTTATTTAAATAGATAATCCAATAATAACAAACCGTTTGCACTTACTGAGAAAATGTAACGAAACGACTAATCTAACTGGCCTTTTATTGCTTAATTTTGAACAGTGCACCTTATGTGGAAATCGACATGAGATCGGGGGAAGTCGACGGTTATGATGCGATCTTCCTGAGTGTGCACAAGTTCCTTGGTGGACCTGGGTCTCCAGGAATCCTGCTCATGAGCAAGGTTCTCTATCAGCTTGGATCATCTCCCCCATCAACCTGTGGAGGAGGAATTGTTGATTATGTGAATGGCTTCAATGAAAAGGTAAAAGCATTCATCTGTTGCAAACGATAAGAGCAAATTTAAAAGCTAAAGCAATTACCATCAAAGCATTCTGATTTTATCAGTCGGTAACTTGCTAAATTACTTGCCTAGCAGGATACATTATATGTGGAAGACATTGAAGAAAGAGAGAATGCAGGGACTCCCCAGATTATTCAGATAACAAGAGCGGCATTGGCATTTTGGTTGAAAGACTACGTGGGATATGAAGTGATTGAGAAACTGGAGCACAAGTACATCAAAGAAGCAATCAAAAGGCTCTCCACAAACCAGAACATAGAGATTCTCGGGAACAAAACAGCAAAGAGACAAGCTATATTGTCTTTCCTGATATACTCAACAACTAATTCACCACCAGATGGTGATAAGGGAAGAGAGAAAGGGCTTTACCTGTGGGGAGAAACGGGGAACGAAAGGGACAAGCCTCTCCATGGACCTTTTGTTGCCACTCTCCTCAATGACCTCTTTGGCATTCAAGCGAGAGGCGGGTGTGCTTGTGCCGGTCCATATGGTCATGCCCTTCTTGGCATCAATGAAGCTCAGTCCCGTGCATTTAGATGTGCCATTGAAAAGGTTAGATGCTTGTTTTCTTTCCTGTAAGACAGTGACCCGAAAAACCTTGAAGGTTTTCAAACCGTAATATAAGATTAAGCATTTCACTAATCTTCTGTGAGTTTACCTTTATAACAGGGTTATGTGGGAGTGAAGCCTGGATGGACCAGAGTAAGCTTTCCCTACTACCTTTCGGAGGAGGAGTTCGAGTACATTATTGCTGCACTGGAGTTTGTAGCCTCTTATGGCCAGAGGTTCCTTCCGCTCTATCATTTCAACCTGAAAACTGGAAACTGGACCTTCAAAAGGAAGGCATTCATGGAGATTGTCGGGAAAGAAAGAAATGGCGGTATTTTTATCTTAAATGACAACCAGGCTGGTAAAAATCTCAATAGAGATGCTAAACATGAGAGCCTCATTGCCAAGTACACGTCATATTGGGAGAATGGAAAACATATTGCAGGTCTCCTCCCCAAATTTCCCTCCCTGCACATGCTACCGGTTGGAATTGATTCAGAGCTACTGTACTTCCGCATCTAGTGGAAGATTTTTGAAAGAATATTAAATTGAATAAAGGCATTCTGATAGAAAATGCAATCTTTCAAATACTATGTCACCAAGTGTCATCTGAAGATGATAGCCAAGCTGATCCTGTAACAACTGAAAATGACATATCCATGAATTGTGAGAACATTCTCCCTGCCATCATCAATTTTTTCCCTCCTTAATCCCAGTGTTTATATGCCGAGTGTTTTAGTGTCGTTAACACGCGCCTTCACCAAGATCAACTTCTATGTAAAATGGTGCCAATAGCTTGAGAGAACCTCTAAAGATAGATCAGACCTCAGGAGCACTCACCATGTGAATCATGGTGACAGATTGATAGTGAAACAGGAACCCCGCAATAAGTTATATCGCTTACTATATTACTATATTTGCATGAAACATAACTAGTTGTTTATCTATATGATGAGGTAAAGGCCCAGATATGAGCCTAAACCATGTTCACTAATCCTCTATGTATATGTAAACAGTGGAATATGTCAGCAGTTATTTTAATTGGATATTCAAATTAAATATGAAAATAATGGCTAGAAATTATTGATCGCTTAATGACGAAGATTGACTTTCTATTCAACTACCAAATATCATTACAGAGTGTACAACATATTAATCTTATACATGCAGCGGCCAGAAATAGTCTCTGAAACAAGGTTTACCACTACACGAGCTTTTAACACTGTACATGAACTTGCTTAAACTATCGGGTGGACTCAAGTTCCTTAAAGAAGCAACAAACCTTATGCAGCATCCAACCACCACAGAAACATGCAACAAAACACAACATGCCATCCTGAAAATCAAACAAAAAGAAATGTGAATCCACTAGAATCAGTTTTTCTACCAGCTTTGAATGAACAGAACTTTTGCTTATGTGCATATTAGCTCTATTCTCTTTCAAATTAAAAAAAAAGTTTCAACCATACAAACTGATAAAGTAAAAACTGATGAAGGAAGAAATGATAAGGGAAGGAAAGAATGCAGACACACCTTAAAGACGGTGCTAAGATGTCCTGTTACTTTCAGAATAAGTGGCTTGACCCAAATAAGTTGAGGCTATTCATTGTCATTTTCTTATATCCCCTGAAGCTTCATATGATTTCACCGACCTTTTTCATCCCATATGCCATAAGTCAACTTTCAAGCTTCATCACTGCTGACATGGGTCTGCAAATGAATGGAGCAAAAATTCAGACATTATCTGGCAATGGGAAAAAATAGTAGCAGTAACTAAACCATATCTAGGCATACCTCCATAAGACAAGGTGCAAGAAATTAAGGATCCAACATCTTCAGGTGCTAATGTAACCCTATGTTGCTCACGAATTTTTCATCGTCTGGTATAAATGATCCCTCCGAATTCATCTGTAGGGCTCACAGCCGGCTGAACAAGGACCAAGAAAAATAGAGTTTTAGCATGTCCATTTGGCCGTAAAGATCATTCTCACATGATGAAACCACGGTTGACAAGTCAGAAGTGCTTCATTCTCCTTAAATTCTTTAACTCATAAGCATCATACAGTTTTTTATGAAGTTTAGTATAGGCACATCAAATCTATAGCTAACTACTCTCACGTATTCTCAAAGCTTCTCTTCCTATTTCTACTTTTTATGTATATCAATCGTGCCGGTTTCCTTCTTCCCCTTGTATTTATCTGCAGTCTACAACTTCTCTTCCCTGTCTGTTAACCGTTTCTACAGCATTGTTCTAGATCTAGTCTGATTGTACATTGCTGGGGTCTCAAAATATTCAAAAACCAAGAGGATGAAGATGAAGAGATCCACCAGCTGACCACCATTCAAAATTTCTCGCAAAACCCACTTTGAAATAATTTTAATTCTAGCCAAGAAAATATCCAGCAGTTCCAGGAGCTTAGTTTGTCATATTTCATATTCAAAGTCAGCATCCACACAATTAACCACTGAAAAGATGGTACAGATAACATGACCTGAAAAAGAAAATGCAGGCTATGGAATCCCTCAAAGCAGGTAAGGGACGCACCACTTGCAAGTGCAACTTCTTCCGCACTTCAGCCGGATTCTTAACGTGAAGAAACTATGCCGAAATCATCCATGGCATTCCCTTCAGGACGATCAGAGATGGTAAACTCTACAATTTTGGCAACCTTGGGAAAGCTCTTCATACAACCCTTGGACACGGCTCGATTAAGAATTCTGAACGTAATTTCACTAGGCTCACACCCTTCCCCGACCATCGCGGTTACTAATGCGATAGCATCTGAAAACTTCCCTCTCTGAAACATGGCGGCTAATATGGTGTTATAGATTGCAATACTTGGAGTAAGCCCATTTTTCATCATTTGATCCCTGAGTTGAAGAGCAGCCAAAACCATCCCTTCCTCACAGAGCTGCTTAATCACGGTACCACATGTGACAACATCGGGGTTTAGTTTCTGTTTTTGCATATCCATGAGAAGCTTACCAGCCATTGCATAATTTTTCTCTTCCGCGTATGCATTTAGGAGAATATTGTATGAGGTAATATCAGGAAGGATTCCATGACCGATGCCGCGGAAGATCCAGTAATCAATTGCAAGTAGCTTATTCTTGCAAACTTTGTCTAAAAGCACATTTAAGGTAATAATTGTCGGTCTGGGTCCATTCAACATCATGGATTCCAATAGCTTAAAAGACTCTGAAAATTTTCCATATGTACAGAAATATCCAATCAAGCAAGTCAAACCTACAACGTCGAGCTTAATGCCTTCGTACTCCATACGGTACAAGACCCTTCTAATCATCGCAGAGTTTCCATGTCTGCATGCTGTAGACAAAATTGTATTGAAAGAAACTACATCTGGTCCACTGCCAATCCACTTAAAACGGTCCAAAATCTGTAAAGCCTCATCAATACTGTTCTCCTTACAGAAACCACACAAAATTGTGTTCAACGAAACATTATTTGGAATAACCCGCCCTTCTATCATACATTCAAGGGCAGACAAAGCTTCCTTGGCTTTATTAATGCAACATAGACCCAATAAGTATATATTATATACACAAATATCCAGGCTACAGCCCGAAGAAATTGCATCACATAATAGATCGCCTGCAAATCTTACTCTGCCATCTTTTAATTTGGCCGGCATTTTTACTCCGCCAAATTTTAATAGGCCTCCGGCCAAAGCAGAATATGTGTATGGGTCAGGTGAAAGACCCTTTTCATCAATCATCCCACAAACTTCTGAAACATCCACGAGTCTATTCAGATGACACAATGCCCGGAGAATGATATTGTATGGGTACAAGTCTGGACAGTATCCTTCCTTATCCATCTTGGACAAAAGGGCTAATGCATCTTTAATCTGCTCATTGTCACAAAGAAACTTTATAATTACAGTGTAAGTTATCACGTTAGCTTTGCATCCATCGCGTTTCATGACATTAAAGCATTGAAATGCTTCCTCCCACGACCCTTCCCTGCTAAATCCATAAACCAAAGCCGTGTATGAGGAAACATTAGGATGAACACCTCTCTTCTTCAGCCAGTATAACAACTCCAGAGCACGACAACTCTGGCCAGACTTGCACAAAGCCCAGACAATCGGATTACAACTGTAGATACAACAAACACAACCTCTGTCGAAGAGAGCCGACACAACTCGATGGGCCCCCTGGACCATCCCGCTTTTGCAGAGTACAGAGATCAAGGATCTCAACGTGGGTTCAGTGGGGCGATACTCACACTTCAGCATTAATTCAAACGCTTGGAGTGCATCCGCCAAGCTCCCCAATCCTAGCGATTTCTTCAACAATTTCGACAAACAACTAAAGGAAGGCCAGAAGCCACACTCCCTCATCTCCTGAGCAATGAAGCACGCATCCGTCAAGCGCCCAAGAGACAACATTCCATTGAGAAGCGTATTGAAAGTCAGAGCATTAGGCGCAGGGCCAAACCTCTTCATCCCACGATACACTCCAAACAACTCCTCCAAAACCACACCTCCCGATTTCAGGTAACGGTACATCAAGGCATTGTAGTCGTACACCGTCGGCTTCCCAGGCGAATGGCCCATCCAATTCAACGCCTCCAGCGCTCTCCCTAGCTGGCCCAAGGAGGCAAAGCGGTGCATCCTCCGCTTGGACTCAGCGTAGCCATGATCGTCGCCGTCGCCGGACTCGCTCGCTTCATCGGGCTCAATGGCTCGAGCAGCACAGGAAGTGGATGCGCCCGCGAAGACCACAAGACCTCCCGGAATTCGAACTCCTCGTTTCGGGCAAGCCAACGCAGGAGGAATCATGGGTCTGAAAAAAGATAGGAGCTTGGCGACGTCGGCGGCCGCTACCATCAGGCGACGGGCCCGTCGCTGCCGTCGGCCGCGGCGGCGAGGAAAAGGGGTGTGCTCTCCCGACGCGGCGGCGCTCCGCCGCGTTGCTCCTTGCCGTCTGCTGTGGCCCTCGTAGGGGGAGGGGGAGAGAGAAGCGGCTTCTTGTTTGTAGGGTTTTGCCTCTTCTGGGTTTTAAAGTTCAAGACTTTGAAGAAATTTGAAGCGAGAAATGGGATTTGGAAAATATTTTTTGAAAAATAATTATTTACATCGTTTAGAAAAATTCGCTAATGAAAAAATATTTTGATTATCGATGATAATTGTTTTCGTAGGCGATGAAAAGAATTTTCTATTCAATTTTTTTTCAAACAATATAAGCCATAAATCATTTATTTTTCGCGAAAGGAACCTCAAGAACCTGAACTTATCCATGGAAAAACAGGTTCATCATTTTTTTTTAAACCTAACCTACATACTTTGAAACATGGAAGCTACCAAGTCTCATACCATCACCTTTAATGACTACCATTTGCTCTGCTGCAATTCACTAACAACTTATATTTCATTAAAAAGTCATAAAATAAAAACTCAAATTAGTGGTTCCGGATTATACATTCATCATTTAACGTCATGGAACACCGCATGATCACGTAAAAAAATAGATCAAGAAAAATACATAAAACTTATTTAAGGTTTCAAGTACCTAGAAAACCGAACGATGCAAATTAATGATACTGTTTGTTAGAGTTCTAAGGAAATTCGACCAATTTGAGGTCCAGAGAAAATTTGATGCTAGGTTACATTTCTGTGCACCAAATTTTGGAATTAATGAGGTAATTTGGTTTGAAATTAAAA